CTGGAGATGCTGCAACATTCCAGCTGATTGGCGCTTCTTCTGAGCTCAGAAGTGCCAGGATCAGCACCAAGCTCCAGCTGGAGCCTGGCGCTGATCCTGATGCTTCCACTGAGCCCTGACAGTCCCGAAGAAGCGCTGATCAGCTGGAAAGCAGCACTGATCCTGGCGCTTCCGCTGAGCCCTGACAGCCCTGCAGCTCCAGCCGTCTCTCGCTCAGGCTTGTGCGGTGCTGCCACCAGTTGAGCTCATTCCCCTCCTCTGCTACCACTTTTCTAGGATGGTCGCGTACCACCTGCCAGGTGCCAATGTACCACAGGTGGTACCCGTACCACTGGTTGAAAAGCCCTGCCATAGACACTCTTGGAAAGGGAATCCTTGCTACAGGCCTGGAAGAGAAGACTGGTTTAACTGTTGAGTGCTGGATTGAAATTTACATCATACCAATTTTGTGACTCCATAAAGAGTGGGGGGAGAGACGTATTGGCAATGTTCAGATGAAACTCATCATTACTAATCCCAGCTCCTTGGCAGGTATCAAAAGATATATAGATTGTTGTAAATCAGATCTGTTTAACTGCTCATTTTGCAAGGCAGAATTCTATTCCAGGAGATTTATGTCCAGATTTTGAATAAAATATCTAGACATAAATTCACTAGTCTTTTAGGGATACAGAAGGTTTTTACTTACCTTTGAAAATGTACAAGGTGCCCAAAGCTTTGGATTTCTTTCTTTTTATGACTCAGATATCCCCAAAAGCTGCTTCTTTTGCAATGCTGCCTGGAATGACCATGTAAGCACCATTGCTGCCTAATTACATGGTGATTCCAGGAAGTGCTGCAAAACCAAAAAAATATGCATTGCACATGTCCTGCTCATTTCATATTATTTAAAAAAAAACAATACTCACCAATTTTTTGGGTGACAAATTGCTAGTTGGACTTTTATCTCTGCTATAATTATCACCTTTTACCCAAATCCAATGCTTTGTATCTCCACTGATTTTACCATTTTCTTTTTTCCTAGTATCCCCTGAAATCTTTTCCCCAATATCAGCGGAAACGTCAACTTTTTCTGAACATCTGGTCAGCCCATGTGCATAAAATTCTCTTTCCAAAACTGTTGTTCAACTTTTTAATAGTAAGCATTTTTTTTTGTCAGATTTGCGATGGTGAAAAGACTAACGATTCATACTTGCACTGACTGGGAAGTTTGATGATAGCAAAAACAGAGATCAGAGGAGTATTTATTACATACCTATAGATCAGTGTTTCTCAACCTTGACAAATTTAAGATGTGTGGACTTCAACTCCCAGAATTCCTCTGACAGCATGCTAGCTGAAGAATACTGGGAGCTGAAGTCCATGCCTCTTAAAGTTGCCAAGATTGAGGACCACATCTATAGACTTTCATAGGGTTGGCTTTTTATTCCCAGTTCTTCTGCCTTCTTACTGGACATTATGCTCAACACACATCTTCTACCATATTAAACTAGTCAACGGCAACCTACTTTGGCTGCAAAACTTTGCAGACATTGTCTCTTGGGGTCACCCATTCCTTTTCATCAGCTTCCTGTGCCTCCCTTATCACCTTGACCCTTATTAGTTTCATAGAATGGGTGCAAATATAGGAACTTTCCTTGCTTAAACTATTCTCCATACCTGGCTACCTTTGCTCTTAGATGCATCCACTCTATTTTTTTTTACAGTAGGCTATAAACAAAGAAAAAACAAAGACAACAATCACACATACACATACACACACACACATATTTCTAATGTTCTGCAGAAGGAATAATAATTTTCCACCAAGTACAATTTAGAGAATTTATAATATCAGTCAGCAATCTTTTGAGGGGTCCAATTGCAGACTCTTTTCTATGTATGCCATAATGTCTATATGGCATTTAATTTTCTATAGATTCTTTTGTCCTTCATTTGCTTATTACTGCTATCAAGGTAAGTCAAAGTATTTGTCCTTTTTCCTCACTCAAAACAGAAAATGTCAACTTTAAGCAAAGTTAGCTGCCCCAGTCTCAGAACCACACTAGACTTGGGCAAACGTCAAGGTCAGAGTTTCAAAGTCAGCTTCTACTGAACCTTGTTACTATTTTGGATTCCCCAAAATAGACTGAATCGTAATTAGCTAAATGGCCTGTACTCAAAACAATCTAGTAAACCTCCAGAAAAACCAGGAGAAAAACTATCCTTTGCTGTGTGAATGCTGTTACTTGGTTTGTAAATGAGCAGGGGTGTCGTATGAACTCAGGCATGGGCAAGTAGATGCTTGCAATATTCCACCTGGTAGAACAGCCAGGTAAATCAAATATTGTTAGGAACATAGGTATATGGTGGAACTCGCCAGCACTGTTAATCCAAGATCCAACTTCAAGATTTTACATTCAACCCTGACCTATCTTACTTAGGGATCATGATCCTTTTCCTGCTGTGCTTTAAACACACCAAAGATGCCCAGCAGGGAAATAGCATCTGTTTATTTATTTATTTAAACCAATTTAGACACTCCATTGCCCAAGTAATTCTGGGCAAAGTCCAACACAGTGCTAGACTTCATTAACAGAGGGATAGAATCAAGATCATGTGAAGTATTAATACCACTTTACAAGGCCTTGGTAAGGCCACACTTGGAATACTGCATCCAATTTTGGTCACCACGATGTAAAAAAGATGCTGAGACTCTAGAAAGAGTACAGAGAAGAGCAACAAAGATGATTAGGGGACTGGAGGTTAAAGCATATGAGGAACGGTTGCTGGAATTGGGTATGTCTAGTTTAACGAAGAGAAGGACGTGGGGGGACATGATAGTAGCGTTCCAGTATCTCAGGGGCTGCCCCAAAGAAGAGGGAGTCAAGCTATTCTCCAAAGCGCCAGAGGGCAGGACAAGAAGCAACGGATGAAAACTAACCAAAGAGAGAAGCAACCTAGAACTAAGGAGAAACTTCCTGACAGAACAATTAACCAGTGGAACAACCTGCCTCCAGAAGCGGTGAATGCTCCAACACTGGAAGTTTTTAAGGAGAAACTGGACAGCCATTTGCCCGAAATGGTATAGGGTTTCCTGCCTGAGCAGGGGGTTGAACTAGATGACCTCCAAGGTCCCTTCCAACTTTATCATTGTTATTATTATTATTAACCCTAAAACAAAGAAAAGAGAACAGCAAGCTAATAACCAAAACGGTGATTATCTATCAAGATAATTTCCTTTTCATTAGTCTACGTATATGAGATTTGTTAGTTTTTATCTTTCTATATTTTTAATAAAATTATTCTAAAGACACATTTATACACACACACACACATGCATGCAAATACACAAATATATCCTAGTCAGCCTTGCTAAAGGCAACTTCCTTCAGCTGTCAGTTGCTATAGCTACCTGCTGTTTTTTTTCCCCTACCTCCATTTTAACCTCCTCCGTGAACTGCCATCTCCAAAGCTGGTGACTGAAAGAGAATTCACCGTACCCTTTCATTTCTCTCGTTTCCAACGATCCCGAGAGTCATTTTGATAAGTCTCTATCCGAGAGCCACAGAAGGCATCAGGGCCTCCCAAAGACTCACTTGGGCATCAAGAAAACAATGCTCCATTCGCGCGATCTTTGTCCTGCTGGAGAAGGCACTGTGTGACAGCTGCAAGTAGCAGCGATAAATGAACCAGAAGAAATGCCAAAGTTATATCCAGAACTTGGAGGAACAACAACAACAACAACAACAACAAACCATGACAGGATTACAGAATTAAGGGTATGAAGATGCTGGCTCAGCCAGCTTGGAACCCAGCATGCCAGCAAGTAACAGCAGCCAGACAATACTGGAGTCCATCATTTCTTGATTCCCAAAGGACCTGTCTTGGAAACGTGTTCCCCTGCCATTTATTTCACTCATATGCCCTGGGTGCAACTTCAGAACAGATTTCTCCCATTGAATGTCATCCTAATGCAGTGGTTCTCAACCTTTTTAATGCCGCGACCCCCAACCGGTCGTAAGTCGAGGACTAAATCGGTCGTAAGTCAAGGACTAAACCGGTCATAAGTCGAGGACTACCCAACCGATCGTAAGTCGAGGACTTTCCCTGCCCGGGAGCGCCGCGCATGCGTGGTTCCGCCCCTGCGCCGGCCGAGGCGTAGCTGGCAAGCGGCAGAGACGGAGCAGGCCGACCACCAGCTGGCCCAGCCCAAGGGAGGTAAGGCACCCACCGGAAAAGGGGAAAAAAATGGCAGACAGCCTTGCTTGGCGACCCCCGTGAAATGGTCGATCGACCCCAAATGGGGTCGCGACCCATAGGTTGAGAACCGCTGTCCTAATGTGTTATTTTTGAATGATCAGAATCCCAGGAATGATAGATGATATCTATCATTTCTACTGGGCTACAAGTTGTGGTGGGAAAGTGTCCAGGTAGCCCTGATCAAGATAGATGTATACAGCCTACGAAAAATAGGGAGAGGGGGATTAGATAGGATTCGATCAGGTTTTTTCCCCAGAATGTGCTGTCCCAAAAACCTGCCCGTTTTCAGGTCTCAAACTCTCTCACCCATAGTTGCTAGGCGAGGAAAGGAATTTACTCAAGGCTGAACAGCTAACAGCAGACAAGGGAAGAAATGTAAACCAAAATCTCTTGAGAAACAAAGTTTCCTTGGTAGTTTCACTTTCAATAGGTGTATGCAGAAGTTGTAGGCAAAATCCAGTCCAAAGTTCAGAGACCAAAGTCCGGTTTGTCAGCCAGCCCAAGGTCAGAGTTGCACGAACAAGACTCACATGAGCAACACACCAGAACAGAAGATCAGATGCTTGTTTGAAATGGAGTAACATGGGCCAGGGCTGTCTCTTAAATCAAGCTGTAGCCAGCTCTGTTAAAGCAAGAGAGTTACTCTCCTGCTTGGCAAGAAGCCTCATTGAGCATCTTTGCTCTGCTCTCCAAATAGGAGGGCTTGCAAGTGGCATATCATCATCTGACTGTTCCACCTGTTCTGATGGTGCCTGTACTTGATAAACTTTAGGTAATTCCTGGCTTGGAGCTGACAGAGGGATAGAATCAAGATCACATGAAGTATTAATACCACTTTACAATGCCTTGGTAAGGCCACACTTGGAATACTGCATCCAGTTTTGGTCACCACGATGTAAAAAAGATGTTGAGATTCGAGAAAGAGTGCAGAGAAGAGCAACAAAGATGATCAGGGGACTGGAGGCCAAAGCATATAAGGAACGGCTGCTGGAATTGGGTCTGTCTAGTTTAATGAAGAGAAGGACGAGGGGGGACATGATAGCAGTCTTCCAATATCTCAGGGGCTGCCCCAAAGAAGAGGGAGTCAAGCTATCCTCCAAAGCGCCTGAAGGCAGGACAAGAAGCAACGGATGGAAACTAAGCAAGGAGAGAAGCAACCTAGAACTAAGGAGAAACTTCCTGACCGTTAGAACAATTAACCAGTGGAACAACCTGCCTCCAGAAGCGGTGAATGCTCCAACACTGGAAGTTTTTAAGAGAGATTGGACAGCCATTTGTCCAAAATGGTATAGGGTTTCCTGCCTGAGCAGGGGGTTGGACTAGATGACCTCCAAGGTCCCTTCCAACTTTATCATCATCATCATCATCATCATCATCATCATCATCATCATCATCATCATCATCATCATCATCATCATCATCATCATCATTATTATTATTATTATTATTATTATTATTATCACATGTGTTCAGTTGGAGTAACTTCTTCAGAGTCAGACTCCTGGCCCATGACAACATCATTTTCTTCAGGGTCGTTGTAGCTTTGAATGGTCGCTAAACAAATGACTGTTAAATCTAAGTCTACCTGTATGGTTTCTTGTACAATGAGCAAGAAGATTGAGGGGGGGGGGCTGCTTATCTCAACAGAGAAAGCTTTTTTTAAGGCCTGACTGGGCTTCAGACTTTCTACATTTTCCTTTGAGTGGAGATATTGATTTGATTAAAACAATAATGCTTCTCACTTCCACAGCACGTCTTCTGTTAAATAAGCTGTGCGGAGCCTTGCAAGGGGGATTCAGTGGGACTGCCTCCCGGTTACACACCGGGGAGGGCCCGAGCAAAGGGCTTGGAGATCTCCAAAGTCAACTTCATCAATTCACTACAAAGGGGAAATGTGACTCAGTGACAGTCCAGATCGTATCTTGGGCTCTTGGCCATTACGGGATATTAGCATACAAGCAAGCCCTGGAGGGTAGTGCAGTAATCAGTTCTCCTGTTTCCTATAAATTTCTCTCCCCTGAGAATGAGGCCTTTAGCTTATCTCATTAACGTGAGATAACAAATAAGCCAACACAAGGTGAGGCTTGTGAGGCTTCAATGAGGCCCTCTGCATTGTACAGGCAACACAATTGGAGGCTCTGAGCTTATTGCAGGTCACTTCATCCAAGACTCTGTGTCCCTCCAAGGCCTCCAGCAGTTCTGCTTACCAGAAAAGACCTCTCTGTGCAAGATCTTGGAAACCATTTTGTTGGTAGATGTACCAGGGGAACTCCTTTGCAAAACTCAGAGGGAGGGTTCAAGATTAACAAAATATACATGACCTCCAAACTTGGGGTAGCTTTCATATCTATGCATGATTGTATGTGGGGAAGACCTTGGGAGACACCACGGATGGAAAAACTCAGGTAAAAAGTATCTCAGTCGATTAGAATGGAGGAGACATGGGAAGCACTTCAGAAAGGGCCCTTCCTACTTTTCTGGAGAGCAAAAGGGAGAGAGGGGAGAAATAATTTCAGTCTTGCAAGATTCTGTCAATGTAAACGTAGGGCACAGATAGAGATAATTTTCCTGGTTCTGCTTCTTGTCTAGACAACCTCACAAGGCTAACGCTGTAGAGAGTGCTTGTTGTTGTTCCCTCCCTGCTTTCTAATTCTTATCTCTGTTGTTCTACAATCTCCTGGGAGAAGCTTCTATCTGCTATCAGCTGGTACTTAAGCCAGCAAAATTGTAGGCCAGGGGTCTTCAAACTTGGCCCTTTTATGACTTGCGGACTTCAACTCCCAGAATTCCTCAGCCAGTGTGCCTGGCTGAGGAATTCTGGGAGTTGAAGCTCACAAGTCATAAAAGAGCCAAGTTTGAAGACCCCTGAACTACAGTGAGGATTGACCAGTCCATCATGGTCTCTTTCTAAGAATATTAAGAGTCCTGTTCCTGACATTACTTTGTGTTGACCATCCTTGAATATGAGTTCATTTTTCAAGTAAGAAGCTGGTGCTTCTTGAAACAGTTATGGGCTGAGTCACTCCTAGGTTTTCCCTGTGGATTGTCTAGCTAGTGAAGAATCAGTGAGCCTGGCTGAGGAATTCTGGGAGTTGAAGCCCACAAGTCATAAAAGGGCCAAGGTTGAAGACCCCTGCTGTAGGCTCAGAGTCTCTCTCCCTCTCCCTCTCCCTCTCCCTCTCCCTCTCTCCCTCCCTCTCCCTATCTATCTATCTATCTATCTATCTATCTATCTATCTATCTATCTATCTATCTATCTATCTATCTATCTATCTATCTATCTATCTATCTATCTCCATCTATCCCTCTCCATCCTTCAAATGACTTTGAGTACAGTTCAGCAATAACAAGGCTTGAAAAAACACAACAAACAGAAAGAGGGGGGAAAAAACTGTAAAGAAAAGTAATTTCTGGCTTTAATTCCGATAAAACCCTAAAAAATCAATGGCCCTTTGAACTAGACTAAATTATAGCAAGCAGTACTTCTATAATCACAAGCCAATCATTAAACATCAAAAACTAAGGTTGCATGTTCATTTCTTTCAATTCCGGGGGGGGGGGGGAGGAAAAATCCAGAAGTGGTTCCCAAGTAGAAACAAAGCTAGATGAAGTCCCCTCTTGAATCAAAGCCGTCAATTTCACCATCTCTGCCCAACTCCATTAATTTCACCATCGATTCTTGCACTGAGGACATATGTAAGTCCTCCCATCTCTGCACTTACCATCTAGGTCAGGGGTAGTCAACCTTGGCTCTTTTATGACTCGTGGACTTCAATTCCCAGAATTCCTGAGCCAGCTTAGCTGGCTCAGGAATTCTGGGAGTTGAAGTCCACGAGTCATAAAAGAGCCAAGGTTGACTACCCCTGATCTAGGTCTAGGATGTCAGCTTGAACTCCTAAGTAAGAACAATCCTTAACTCCATTTATTGAGAAAGGTATAGCACACTAGAAATCAAGTGAATCATACTAACGCACAGGCAGAACTGAGAAAACACATGCCTAACTTTTCCCTCTCTTACTTGCCTCCGATCATTGGGCCCCCAATCTTCAATCAAATTCAAACAAGTTGCTTTTATAATGGTCATTTCAGGTGTAGGTTTGGCCTGCAGCTGCACAACGTTCCCAGTCGGTCGTCCTTGAAGCCCGTCTCGGAGAGATACAGTAAAGTTTTGTTCCCCTCAAAGCATCCCCTTCTCCCATCCAGCCCTTCTCCCCCCCCTCCGCCAGTGTTCATGGCAGCTGAGAGTGAATGGTTGCGAAGCGCAAGCATGAGGTGGCAGCTAACATAGGAACTTATTTTGAAACCATAGTTTCCCCCAATGTCAGGCACAAAGAATCAGGGCCCATTCATAAGGCTACAGCATAGAATATTTACTCAAGCCTATACACAAGATTCTGGTCAACTAAAATTTAACAATAAATTGGTACCAAATAAGGGTCCACGGAATTCAGGAGTGGCTGGACTTGGGTCTGTTTTGATAATGCAAGGATTCTAAGCTGATGATACTCTTCACTCCGCCCCCCCAGCTCTGACTGCTCTTATCCCATCCCTAGATTATCTAAGCCACCTTGGTCTCTCAAGAGAGAATAGGGCTACACCACTTCAAGAAAAAAAAATATGATCATCAACATTCTTCTAACGTTACTGGAAAGCCGAATCATCTGTCTTAGAATTCAGGCAACTTTTTCCCATGCTACTTAGATACCATCTGCCCCCTCCGATGCCCTTCCTTGGCTGTGGTCAATGAGTTTTCATGGATGAGTCCAATCCCCCCCCCAGGGCCCCGGCGCGTGATGACTCTGCAAATGAAAAAACACATTACCTTCTTAACCGCCCAGCTACACTAACATTTTATGTCTAGGTGCCTTGGGGTTTTAATTGAATGTCAAACATAATTTGAGGAAGGTAACGGAGAGTTTGAGATACTGCCCTTAGAAAGCAATTCAGTGGTTGCAAATTACTTGCAGGCTTGTAGCAAAGAAGGATGAGGAATTTCACCCTTCGCCTTCTCATGCCATTCACCAGAAGGACAGGACTCTCTCACCATAGAGAGAGCACAGTGCTGTTGGCAATTGAAGCAGGGCAGACTTCACTTCTTCTACGCATGAATTGTAACTTCCTTCCATCTGTCCGTCAAGGATAACGTCTCGTATGAGTCTGTCTTTCCCAACGGAGATTAATTTCATGTCACTCTTCTCCGATAGACTCCAGTAGAATACTCATCATAGATGGTATTTTTCTACCTGGAGAGAGGATGGTCTCAAAGTCAGCCAGCCAAAGGCATCTTGAGAAGGTCAGAAAAACATGGAAAGTTGGTCATCCAACTGGGTCCCAGTTGTCTCTCTCACACCCTTCTTTCAGGACCTGCAACACCTACTGTCAATAGCAATAGCAACAGCATGTCTATACCGCCTCAAAATGCTTTACAGCACTCTCTGAGCAGTGCAGAGCATGGAACCAATGCAGAGCATGGAAAAGTCTTATGCTCACTGATTCTTCACTAGCAAGACAATCCACAGGGAAAACCTAGGAGTGACTCGGCCCACAACTATTTCAAGAAGCACCAGCTTCTTACTTGAAAAATGAACTCATATTTCAAGGACGGTCAACACAAAGCAATGTCAGGAACGGGACTCTTAATATTCTTAGAAAGGGACCATGAGGGACTGGTCAATCCTCACTATAGTTCAGGGCTCTTCAAACTTGGCCCTTTTATGACTTGTGGACTTCAACTCCCAGAATTCCTCAGCCAGGCATGCGTGCCTGGCTGAGGAATTCTGGGAGTTGAAGTCCACAAGTCATAAAAGGGCCAAGTTTGAAGAGCCCTGATGTAGTTCATTGAAGGATCTGCAATGTAAGATGCCCTCCTGGATTGTAGTCCAGCTCTTGGCTTCAGTACTTGCAAGTGAAGGACCAGAAAGATTCCAGAGCATTTTTTTTTTCAGATGAATGAGTTTTGTTCCATGCTTCAGCTTTTATGAGCTATTTTGTCTTCAGCTGAAGCTCACAAAAGCTGATGCCTTTTAATAAAATTTGTTTGCCAGAAATGGTGCTATCAGACTCCCAATTTATACCTAACATGGCCATCCTCCTGCAATGTCTAAGCGAAGAAACATCTCCAGCTTTCAAGGTGTTAGTACTCTGCACAGCATCTCTTTCCGTGAAGAGGTTTCCTTGACTGTTTACAATGAATCTCTTCCTTTGTTTTTTTTTTGTTTTTTTAAATCAGAATTGCTTACAACAGTATCACAGATTATGCTAGTCTTTTCTTTTTCTTTGGACCTCCTGGGAATTCCTCTGAAATAAGTCTTTCCAGGCAGCGCTGTGGAAAATAATCTTGGCCTGCTGGTGTTGTAAACACTCATAAAGGTTCAACAAAACTGAAACGAGGTCCCTTGGTCACAGCGTACATTTTTAAGAAAGCCAACAAAACACAACAAAACAAAAATAATAAACCACTTGGTAGATTTGCTTGCTTACTGGGTCAAGGAAAAATAGCAGCCAGTCTTTTTGGCAGGCAGCTGTCCCATCCTAAATTCCTTGGAGACTGTCACTTCCACCTCTGTTTCCATGGAAATATGGGGCAGCATTGTTTTGCATCCCTAAATGTAGCCTTTATTTTTTTATTATTGTTATTATTTAGAGAAGATATATTCTGGACCGTGTTCCACGTAACCATTCCAGGGTGATGCCAAAGTAGCAAATAAAATAAAAATGATTAACCTACTATAATAAAGGACAACAAATTAGTAAAACAATAAAACAAAACAAATAATAAAGCTAACAGAGCACACGAGAGGTATTTTCGGTGTACTGGTTAAGACAGCAGGCTGGAAACTCAGAGACCCTAAGCGAAAACATTTGAAGAACGGTTGCTGGAATTGGATATGTCTAGTTTAATGAAAAGAAGGACTTGGGAATGACATGACAGCCGTGTTTCAATATCTGAGGGGTTGTCACAAAAAAGAGGGAGTCAATCTTATTCTTCAAAGCACCTGAAGGCAGGACAAGAAGCAACAGATGGAAACTAACCAAGGAGAGAAGCAACCTAGAACTAAGATGAAATTTCCTGACAGTGAGAACAATTAATTAGTGGAACAACCTGCCTCCAGAAGTTGTGGGTCTTCCTCCCAACCTTTTCCCCCTGTCTTTTCAATCATATATGTTTTTATTGTGTCTTGGAGTCAGTGTTGATTCCAGCCTCTGTCTAGGACCAGTTCCACAGTTTTCTAGGCAAAAGAATCCAATCCATGATTTTTTAAGGATGTGAAATTGGTGAAACCTGGCCTAGGGAGAAGAAAGGAGCAAAAGAGCTGGTTGAGGAGGACAAGACCAAATGATATGAGAGGCATAAAACAGAGAAGGCTGCAGAAGGAAAAATAGAGGAGGGGATTCTCCAGGAAATCCTTTGAATAAGGTGATGCCAACCCACATTGTCTCCATGAAAAAATAATCATGCTAATGAAATATGCCCTCAGCCAAAGAAGACCCCTGCATTGGAATATTTAGCCAGCAACGTGCATAGCTAAATGTCTATGGAGATTCTCAGCCATCCAGGTCATAGTTAACCCAAAGGTGCTTTTTCACGAGGCAACTGGACCACGAGGCAACTGGACAGCTGCCTCGTGAAAAAGCACCTTTGGCATTTAGCAAGCAATGTTTGCTAGGAATACAGACAGTCCTCGGTTTACAACAGCTCCTTTAGTGACTATTCAAAGTTACAATGGCACTGAAAAAGTGATTTATGATCATTTTTCGCACTTACGACCATTGCAGCATCCCCATGGTCACATGATTTACAATTGGATGCTTGCCAACTGGTTCATATCTATGACGGTCGCAGGGCCCTGGGGTCAGGCGATCCCCTTTTTGCGACCTTCCGACAAGCCAAGTCACTGGGGAAGCCAGATTCACTGCAGAACCGTGTGACTCATTTAACAACTTTGGTGATTCGCTTAACAAACGTGGCAAGAGGAGACGTAACGTGGGGCAAAACTCACTTAACCAATTTCTCCCTTAACAACCTAAAGCAGGGGTCTTCAAACTTGGCCCTTTGATGACTTGTGGACTTCAACTCCCAGAATTCCTCAGCCAGGCACGCGGGCTGAGGAATTCTGGGAGTTGAAGTCCACGAGTCATGAAGGGGCCTTAGTTCCCCCATGCTGACTGAGGAATTCTGGGAGTTGAAGTTCACTAGTCATGAAGGGGCCTTAGGTCCCACATGCTGGCTGAGGAATTCTGGGAATTGAAGTCCACAAGTCATGAAGGGACCTTAGTTCCCCCATGCTGGCTGAGGAATTCTGGGAGTTGAAGTCCACAAGTCATGAAGGGGCCGTAGTTCCCCCATGCTGACTGAGGAATTCTGGGAGTTGAAGTCCACAAGTCATGAAGGGGCCTTAGTTTCCCCATGCTGACTGAGGAATTCTGGGAGTTGAAGTCCACAAGTCATCAAAGGGCCGAGTTTGAAGACCCCTGACCTAAAGGCTGGGCTCACTCGTGGTCGTATGGCGAGGACTATCTGTAGTCACCACAGCCAAAGGGCCATAGCAGAGAGTCAACCGTCCCCTTCCTCTCCCCGCCTGTCCTTACCGTGCTTAATCTCTGGAGAATATACATCATTCGCATTCCCAGAATGCAATTGGGTCACGCAGCAGTTGTTTCTGCTGCTGGTGCTGGTGCTGGTGGTGGGGGCCGCGGGGGGCGTCAGGGCATTGGAAAGTGTCTGGTTGACCACTGGAGGAGCCGGCAAAGTTCGGGGTGTCTGGCAGGTGCAGCCCGTTTGTGAGAGACCGCAGGGCTGGCTGGCCCCCGGCCGAAGGCAGTCCTCCAGCCACCGGCAGAGCACGCTGCAGGTGAACTGGCTGGAGTTGTTGTTGTTGATCAGGAGGACTTCGACAAAGCGGAACTCCACGGCTTCGGGGGGCAGCAATCGGCTAGCCGCTTCGGGCTCCTCCGCCAGGCAGAGCTGCACAAAGTTCTTGTCGAAATGAAAAAAGGCAAAGGCCCCCCCACCTTGGCAAAGCTCCAAGCCCGGTTCCTCCTCCTCCTCCTCCTCCTCTTCCTCTCTCCCCTCCTGGGGCAGGGCGGTGGCTCTGGGCTGGCTGCAGGTGTCATTGGAGAGGTAATGGTCCAGCGGAAGCACCATGGGCGAGTAGTGGGTGCAGACCTGCTCCTCCCGGTTGAACTTGAGATACAGAGAGTATTTGGTTGGATCCGGGTTCTCCAGGGTCCATGAGCAGCCGGTGGAGACGGTGGGGAAGAGGTCCTTCAAGGAAAAGGATCCGTAGAGGACCCCGGAGGCCAAGGCGGAGCAAGCACTTGGAGCCGGATCAAAGCCCCAGGAGAGCCACACCAGACACGATATCACAGACAGTAAGAATGGTCCAGCAGGGTTCATCCTATGACATTTGCCCTTCGGGAGAGAAAGAGAGAGAAAACGGTTACGCCAGAGGATGGGAAGAAGCTGCCCCAGAACCCGTTTTCCTCGCTGCAACGCAGCCCTGCAAGGTGTAAAGGTAGGACTTGTGTGTTTATTTTGTTTATTAGGTTTTTATCCTGCCTTTATTACTTTATAAATACGGTAGCTCAAGGTGGCAAGCGTAC